AAGGCTAGTGCTCTACCACTTGAGCCACAGCGCCACTTCCGGCTTTTTTCTTTTTGCTTATGTGGTGCTGAGGAATCGAACCCAGGGCCTCGAGCATGTAAGGCAAGCGCTCTACCACTGAGCCACCTTCCCAACCCTCTGATTTGCATTTCTGATAAATAAATGAAACTCTCCATGTAATCTTCCATATGAATAAACCCAGGCATTGAGTAAGCCATTTGAGTTAGCTAGCTGGTAAAAAAAAAAATGGTGGGATATGGTACTAACTACTCAACAAGGTGTTTGGAAAGAGTGCAGAATTGCCAACATATTCAGACTTCTGGTGGGAGTCTGTAGATGTGGGAAGTTGGGCATTCTGTGATTAGGAAGTTATAAAATAGACTAAAGCAAGGAGACTCTAGCTAAGACTAGAACAAAGATGGTGATTAGTGATGGCAAGAAGAGCTTTATGTGAAAGGAAGGATCTGAATAATGAATAGCAAGTAATGCACAAAATGTGCAGGCAGGTGCCAGCCAGGTGCTGGCAGCCTAAACTTGAAATCCTAGCTACTTGGGAGGCTGTGGTGGATCTTGTTTGGAGGCTAGCCTCAGTGTGGTTGTGGCACCTGTTATCTCAGCTGCCTGGGAGGCTGGGATTCCAGGCCAACTTGGCAGAAAATTTCTTGAGACTCCCATCCCATTGGGAGAAGCTGGGCATGGTGTCATGTGCCTGTCATCCCAGCAATGATAAGAACCTAATAAATTAGGCCGATTTTATTCCAGGCATATACCTAGGTAGGAAGTGAGACCATGTCTCAAAAATAACAAGTGCTAAAGAGGGCTGAAGGTCTGACTCAGCAGTAGAGTGTCTTCCTAACAAGCACAGTGCCCTAAGTTTAAACCACATTACCACCAAGAGAAAACTACAAAAGTAATACAGGTTTAGTGAAAGAGGATAGTGTTGGGATTATAGAGATTTTAGGGAACATGTTTTATACTGACCTGGTGACCCACGCAACATGGTTTATCGGAACCTACTCATAGATCTGCTTTAAACTGGGACCTGTTGGGTTAAGCACAGTTAAATAGGTTTACTTATAGGACTAACTAGATCCTTTATTATACTGATAAAATAGAAGACACTATAATTATTCCCTCTCCTACTCCTAACCCAGTATGTTCCTATCAGCTGACTTTTGAGGGAGGGGGGAGGGCTGGTCAGTAATAGGACTTAAACTCTGGTCCTGAATGCTGCCCCTCAGCTCTTCACCTCAAGGCTAGTACTCTACCACTTGAGCCACGGTGCCACTTCTGGTTTTCTGAGTGGTTTGTTGGAGATAAGAGTCTCACAGACTTTCCTGCCCAGGCTGGCTTTGAACCATGATCCTCAGATCTCAGCCTCCTGAGTAGAAAGGATTACAGGCGAGAGCCACTGGCATCTGGCTTCTTCCTATCCGCTGACACTTTTTTATTTTTTTATTTTTTGGTCGGTTGTGGGGCTTGAACTCTGGGCCTGGGCACTGTCCCTGGGCTCTTCAGCTCAAGGCTAGGGCTCTACCACTGGAGCCACAGCGCCACTTCCCGTTTTTGAGTGGTTTATTGGAGATAAAAGACTCACTGACTTTCTTTCCTGCCCGGGCTGGCTTTAAACTGGGATCCTCAGATCTGTCTCCTGAGTAGCTAGGCGTGAGCCACCAGCGCCCGACTCAGCTGACTCTTTTTTTTTGTTTTGTTTTTTGGGGGTCTGGTCGTGGGGCCTGAACTCTGGGCCTGGGCACTGTCCCTCAGCTCTTCAGCTCAAGGCTAGCACTCTACCACTTGAGCCACAGCGCCACTTCCGGCTGTTTTCTTTTTGCTTATGTGGTGCTGAGGAATTGAACCCAGGGCCTCTGGCATGCAAGGCAAGCACTCTACCACTGAGCCACCTTCCCAGCCCCTCAGCTGACTCTTAAGTCACTTCCTTGTTCACAGAAATCAGGATACCTTCTGTCTGTCTAATAGTTTCTTTCCTTAGAAGGCATATTTCTTCCAGGTGTTGGTGCCTCACACCTGTAATCCTAACTTCTGAGGAGGCTGAGATCTAAGAATCATGGTTCAAAGCCAACCCAGGCAGGAAAGTCCATGAAACTCTGATCTCCAGTTAACCAGCAGAAAACCGGAAGTGGTGCTGTGGCTCAAGCGGTAGAGCGCTCGCCTTGAGCTGAAGAGCTGAGGGACAGTTCCCAGACCCAGAGTTCAAGCCCCACAACCGACAAAAAAAAAGTCCTTGTGTGAGACTCTTGCCTCCAATTAACCACTCAAATGTAAATGGAGCTATGGCTCAAAATGGTAGAACACTATCCTTGAGCAAAAGAACTCAGGGACAGTACCCAGGCCCTGAACTTAAGTCTCACAACCAGCCACCCAAGGAGGGGGAAAAAAAGGTATATTTCTGTGGAACTGTCTGCAGTTACCTAGTTACTACACAGTTACATACACATATCAAATTTTCTCTTAGTTTTATGGCCATCTTACTGCTTACACTCATGCTTTTCTGTTTATTTCTGTCTGTCCCTCTGTGCTAGGGATTAAATTCAGGGCCTTGTGAATATTAGGAAAGTGCTCTACTATATGAACAACATTCACAGCCCATCCATTCATATTTCACAGTGTATGCACTGAAATTTTTAGCAAAGAAACATTTCAAACTTCATCATCTTTAGGAAATTTGTGAAGTTTGCTGGCTTATCGTCATAAGCACCAATCTGTGTTGAGACCATTAGTTTGTAAGAGTTACAGCATGAGAAAGGTCATTGTGGGAATTCGATGTTGTGTGCTTGTGCTTGCATGGTCCATACTAGGGCTTGAACTGAAGGCCTGGGCACTTCCCTCCAGCTTTATTGTTCAAAGCTACAACTCCAACTTCCAGCTTTTTTTTTTTTTTTATTCTTTTTTTGTCAGTCATGGCAGTTGAAGTCTGGGCCTGGGCACTGCCCTTCAGCTCTTCAGCTCAAGGCTAGCTCTCTACTTGAGCCACAGCGCCACTTTCAGTTTTCTGGTGGTTTATTGGAGATAAGAGTCTCACAGACTTTCCTGCTTGGGCTGGCTTTGAACCATGATCCTCAGATCTCCTGAGTAGCTAGGATTACAGGCATGAGCCATCTGCACCCTTTCCTGCTTGGGCTGGCTTTGAACCATGATCCTCAGCTCTCCTGAGTAGCTAGGATTACAGGCATGAGCCATCTGCACCCTTTCCTGCTTGGGCTGGCTTTGAACCATGATCCTCAGATCTCCTGAGTAGCTAGGATTACAGGCATGAGCCATCTGCACCCGGCTGAACTTCCAGCTTTTTGCTGGTTAAACGAAGATAAGAGTCTCACTGACTTTTCTGCCTGTGTTGGCTTTGAACCTCAATCCTCAGATCTCAGCCTCCTGAGTAGCTAGGATATAGATAATCAGTGAACAACAAATCTAGGAGTCAGGGATTTGGATCTAAAAGCAACAAATCTCAGTGGCATGTCTGAGGAATATTTGAGAGGATAGGATAGAGAACTCAAAGTAGGAAGATAGATGTCATCCTTGACTCTTTGATTCTTGGAAAACTGCTAGAAGAATGAGGCTTGGGGATAAGTACATACTTTTGTGTGTGTGCAGCCAATACTGGGGCTTGAACTCAAGGCCTGGGTGTTGTCCCTTAGCTTTCTTCCTTCAAGGCTGGTGTTCTATCATTTGAGCCACAGCCCCATTCCAGCTTTTTGCTGGTTAAAGATTCTCTGGTCTGGGTGCTAGTGACTCACTCCTGTAATCCTAGCTACTCGGGAGGCTGAGATCTGAGGATCACAGTTCAAAGCTAGCCTGGGCAGGAAAGTCCATGAAACTGATCTCCAGAAAACTGGAAGTGGCGCTGTGGCTCAAGTGGTAGAGTGCTATCCTTGAGCTGAAGAGCAAAACTGGAAGTGGCACTGTGGCTCAAGTGGTAGAGTGCTATCCTTGAGCTGAAGAGCTGAGGGACAGTGCCCAGGCCCAGAGTTCAAGCCCTGTGACTGACCAAAAAAAAAGATTCTCTGGTATCTATATGCCTGACTTGGATTCAAACCTTGATCCTCAGATCTCAGCCTCCTGAGTAGCTAGGAGTGCCCAACTTAGTATATACTTGCTTTGATTTTTTCCCCCCTTTTTTCTATCACAGAACAATATGAGTCATTTGTGAAATTCACACATGATCAGATTATGCGGCGATATGGGACAAGGCCAACAAGCTGTGAGTATGCTAAGTTTTTCTTTGAAATGTTTTAAGTTCTAAGAACAAGATTTTCACATGGAATATCTTGTCTCCTGATAGCAAAAATCCCCTATGAGGTAAAATAATACCTAAGAGTACTTAAGTGTCCACAAGCACTACTATTTTGTTTTTTGTTTTGTTTTGTCTTTTGTTGGTCGTGGGCCTGGGCACTGTCCCTCAGCTCTTCAGCTCAAGGCTAGCACTGTACCACTGAGCCACAGCGCCACTTCCAGCTTTTTCTGCTTATGTGGTACTGAGGAATCAAACCCAGGGCCTCATGCTTGCAAGGCAAGCACTCTACCACTAAGCTACATTCACAGCCCTAGTAAGCCTTTTTAAGTCTTCACCAAATCTATTTTCTTATAGTGTAACCATGTGAGAAAGGAACTACTCCCATTTTGTATGTAAGGCTAGTGCTTAGATAAGTTATTTGCAGAAAGTATTATCACCAGTGGTTCTGCCAGTATTTGAAGCCTCTTCTCCAGAAAGATGGTTCCAGTTACTGTTCAGTTCTGTGAAGCTGATTCCTTAAACTAGCTTGTTAAGTATGTTGGCAGAATTCCTTAATTCTAATCATTCTGAAATGTCAATTATAAATAGTTTTAGTCTAACCTTGAGCCAAGTTTCTTAAATTCTTGAAGTTTAGTGCCTTTTAGTTGGTGACTCATGCTGTTTATCACATTTACTATTAGTGAATATAAAGAGAGTCATGACACTTCATATTTCAGTGGTCTTGTCCTCTTGTTTGCAGATGTATCCTGAAGCTCTTTTGCATATCTGGGTACCAGGTTTGACCTCAAGAGATGGCTGCTGTACACTTTTTGCAACTGGTTTGATATCACATTTCAGCTCCAACTTTGCATCCTGAGAACACTTCAATGTTTCTGCAGGTCCATTTTATACAACTTGAAAGACCTTAAAACTTTCTGGTTGCCACAAGCATATCTTTCTTTTCTGCTCATCCAATAAACAGCTGTGCCCTACTGTGATAGATTTTACAAACAAAAATACCTGGAGCAGCAGTTTAGCAAAATATGCCTTCAGTGGCAGTCAACAAATGGAGTTTCCCCAAGCACAGTTCTGTAAGGAGTGTGTGTGAGAGTGTGTGTATGTGTGTATGTGTGCTTTAAGTTATTATTTGTATTGTGCAGATTTTTTTTTTGATCTTGGGGATTCTGGCTGTGAATTTGATGCACGACAATTATGGTTAAAAACATTTGCTTGGTCTACAAATGAGCATTAATGTTTTGTGACCATATAAGTTGTAACAGTGGATTGTTTTATGTGTAGGTATTATTGTTAAAAACAGGGACTGTTTCCAGGCACAGAATATGAATCCTAAGTTAGTGTGGACATTAGATGTGATTATGATGATATAGCGAAGGTCTTCGGTCCTAGATCTACAAGTTCGTGGTGAGAAATTAGAACAAACTGGAGACAGGCCATGGACGCATGGACTCTGGCTAGCCTTGTTAGAAAAATACTTTGACTCCAAGCCTTAAAATACCCTGTGGAGTCTGTGCTCACCTCATTCACAAAAGAGCTCCCTGGACACTGAACCTCTACAGAGATAAGGTCTCCCCTGGAGCAGGAGCATCAGAGTTTACTCGGGAACATAACATAGGTGAGCACTGGGCTGGGCCCGGCCCTTGGCAGCACTGCTACTTGGGACAAGCCACTTCACCTTTCAGTTATTAAAAATAGAATTTGGATCCTTGTGTCAGGTTCTTCCAAACTTCTGAGGTGTCCATATTCAACTGCTTGAGCTTTGTTTTGGCAACCCCCTGCCTGAAGTTGCTTATAGACTGTTCTTCACCTTGTTTCCAAGGCTATGGAACAGAAAGTAGCCTCTGTTTTGAGGAGGTGGAAGTTAAGTATGCATTTATTTTTTACTGTGACTTGTTCAGGACCACATTTTACAAAATGCCTTGTTTCCTTTGCTATTGTTTCTGGAAAGGAAAGTTCTATTAAAATTGTTTTAGTTTGAATATAGAATAGTTTTTTTAAATTACGGCTTATTTTGAAAAAAAATTCTTGAGTTTTAATTCAAATGTATGCCAATACCTTCCAAAGTAAGGTAATATTCAGAGACAGTTGTTCTGATCAGATGGCTTAGAGAAATTTCTGGGATGTTCACATTCAAAGATTCCTTATTGATGAATGTCTTTGACTTAAATCTAACCAAAAACTGCAACATTATTCTTTGTACATTTTCATTATATAGTGTTAACAAGCTTAGTTGCAAACAAATAAAATACTTAAGCTATTTGTTTACCTTGCTTTCTTAATACTGTGATAATGTTTATTCAGATAACTTAAGTGAAGCTGCTATAACTATTTTCTGTATTGCATTCAACCAGTTCAACATTGCATTGAAAATTTAGGTTTTTTTCAAAAGGCCAACATTAATTTTTTTTTTTGTCAGTTGTGGGTCTTGAGCTCTTCAGCTCAAGGTGAGCACTCTACCGCTTGAGCCACAGAGCCCCTTCCAGTTTTCTGGTGGCTTATTAGAGATAAGAGTCTCATAGACTTTCTTGCCTGGGCTGGCTTTGAACTGTAATCCTCAGATCTCAGCCTCCTGAGTAGCTAGGATTACAGGCGTGAGCCACCAGCACCTGGCGCCAACATTAATTTTTAATAATTAAAGCAATGATTTTACTTCATGTTTGAAGCATTTTTCCCCCTAGGGTAGTCACTTGTTCCTGGAAGAGGTATGTATATATATAGCAGTGGCTATAACACTATAGGCTCTAGTAGAATAGTCACGCCAGAACAATGATAGGAGAGGATTCAAGATGGGCATCTCATGGGCTCTTTAAAAGTTTTGAAGGCTCATGCCTGTAATCCTAGCTACTCAGGAAGCTGAGATCTGAGAATCTCGGTTTAAAGCCAACCAGGGCAGGATAATCCATGAGACTCTTCTCCAATTAACCAGCAGAAAACCTGAAGTGGTACTGTGGCTCAAGTGGTAGAGTGCTAGCCTTGAGTTGAAAAGCTCAGGGACAGGGCCCAGGCCTAGAGTTCAAGCCCCATGGCCAAAAAAAGAGTCTTGAAGCAGGGTTGGGAATGTGGCTTAGTGGTGGAGTGCTTGCCTAGAATGCATGAAGCCCTGGGTTCAGTTCCTCCATACTACATAAACAGAAATAGCCAGAAGTGGCACTGTGGCTTAAGTAGTAGATCGCTAGCCTTAAGGGGAAAAAAACAAAAAAAAGCTCAAGGTCAGTGCTCAGGCCCTGAGTTCAAGCCCCAGGACTGGCAAGAAAAAAAAAGTCTTGAAGGCTGACTGCTTCATTGAAGACTTGGCTATATATTACTTTCTTTTTTTTTTTTTTTTGTCGGTTGTGGGGCTTGAACTCTGGGCCTGGGCGCTGTCCCTCAGCTCTTCAGCTCAAGGCGAGCGTTCTACCACTTGAGCTACAGCGCCACTTCCGGTTTTCTGGTGGTTTATTGGAAATAGGAGTCTCACGGTCTTTCCTGCCTGGGCTGGCTTTGAACCTCAATCCTCAGATCTCAGCCTCCTGAGTAGCTAGGATTACAGGCGTGAGCCACCAGCGCCCGGCTTATATATTACTTTCTCTTGTAGGTATCAACCCCCATTACTGTTGAGAAGTAAACTCTGGTTTCTTTGGGTTGTTCATTTATTATTTATTTATTGCACTTTTTTCTGATAACCAGTGTTTTAAGACAGGGCTTCAGATTGATTGGCTGGTGTGCTGCCATTTGAGTCATGTCTCCAGCCCAGGTTTTTTGATGATTATTGTGGAGATGGAGTTTCACAAACTTTGTTGGTAGGGTATCTTTGAACCCTGTTCAGGTCTTGAGTAACTAGAATTATAGGCATGAGCCTCTGGCTCAAACTTTTTTTGTCTTTTTAGTGGTACTAGAGTTTGAACTCAGGTCTTCATGCTTGCTTGACAGGTATTTTACTGTTTGAGCCATGCCTCCAGCCCTTTTTTTTATTTTTTCTTTGCTTTAGTGAGCTTTCAGATAGGGTCTAGAGTTTTATTTGGGACGAGCCTCAGATGTCGATCCTCCTAGTTATGCCTATCATAGCTGGGATTTATAGCTGCATAACCTCTATACTTGGCTATAGTGGGTTTTTTTTTTTAATGTATATTTTTTATTGTAAAGATACTGTGCAAAGGCGTTACAGTTACATGAGTAAGGTAATGAGTATATTTTCTATTGAGCATTTTTACCCCCTCCTTTGTTTTTCCCCCTACCATCCCTTCCCTCCTCACCTGCCCAATTTCTCCCCCCATCCCCTGAAGCTGTAAAGTTCGTTTTCAACATAATGTCTTGTACATCTCATTGTTACAATGGGTCAATCTGTATCCTTATTTCAGCATTTTGTTACTTCCCTTCTAGTCCCCAAATTAGAAGAATGTATATACAAGATGCAGGGCATGAGAATCTAATACAGTGAAAACAGGGTTTATACCATGAGAAAAGAACATATAAAAGAAACAAGAAAAAAATCACACAGTACATTATAATAAGTATATAGTGGGTTTCTTTTAAGAAAAAATTAAACCTTCTGTCATGTCACCCTCTTGCTTTATATATGAAATATTGTTGGTTTGTTGCACTATGAAAAGGTTGCCTCCTGAGGCCACAGGGTAAAATAACACTGGCTAGATTTGGACATCACGTGTAAACTGTACATTTATTTATTATTTACAATCCAGAGAAAAGCTGGAAAATGGGAGACCTGGTATGTAGTAGGTATCAGACTAGCAAAATAATTATTTTCCTCAATCTTAATTTCTAGGATTTTATGATAAGGGCACTTCTCAGGTAAGGAAGTCTTTTGTCCTGTGGAGAATTCTGCAGAAGGAAGAAGAAAACCTGTTAGAAACAACAATAACAAAAACCCTATAATGATGGACTGGGCCCAGCCTTGAGATAGTTTTGCCTAGTGAGATAGTTAAAAAGCTTCTCTGGCTGACACTGGTGGCTCATGCCTGTAATCCTAGCTATTCAGGAGGCTGAGATCTGAAGATTGCAGTTCAAAGCCAGCCAAGCACGAAAGTCGGCGAGACTCTTATCTCCAGTAAACCACCAGAAAACCGGAAGTGGTGCTGTGGTTCAAGTGAGCTGAAGAGCTCAGGAACCAGGTCCAGAGTTCAAAACCTACAACTGATCAAAAAAAAAAAACTATTTAAATTCGAGTTGCTAGCCTTTTTTCAGTATTTTTCTTTTCTTTTTGTCAGCCTTGAAGCTTGAACTCTAGACCCTGGGCACTGTCCCTTAAGCTCTTCAGCTCAAGGCAAGCGTTTTACCACTTGAGTCACAGCGCCACTCCGGTTTTCTGGTGGTTTATTGGAGATAAGAATCCCACAGACTTTTCCTGCCCGGGCTGGCTTTGAACTGCGATCCTTGTGAGTAGCTAGGATTACAGGCTTGAGCCACCGGCACCCTGCTTTTTTTTTGCCAATTCTGGGGCTTGAACTTTGAACTCTTGGCCTGGGCACTGTCCCCAAGCTGCTTTGCTCAAGGTGAGTACTCTACCTTATGCCACAGTTCCACTTCCAGCTTTTTTGGGTAGTTTATTGGAGATTAGAGTCTCAAGTAGTTTGCTGCCTGGGTTGGCTTTGAACCACGAACTTCAGATCTTGGCCTCCTGAGTAGCTAGGATTACAAGTGTCAGCCACTGACACTCAACTTTCGGTAATATCTTAAGTATAAAAGGAATAAAGTTGTCTATGCCTGGGTCAGAGGACAAAAGGGAAGTTCAAAGCTCCTGAGGCAGTATTGATTTCAAGAATTAGATTACAGGGTATAGCTAAGTAGTTGATAGCTACAGTGAAACTGCCTATGTTTTCTGATAACCTACCTCCCCACAAAAACAGGTAAGTAGGCTAGGTGCTGGTGCTTCATGTCTGCAATCCTAGCTGCTCAGGGACAGTGCCTAGGCCCAGAGTTCAAGCCCCATGACCAACCAGGAAAAAAAAAAACAAGGAACAGGTAAATAAAAGAACTTGTTGGTAGCTTACTCTTGTAATCTTAGCTACTCAGGAGGCTGAAATCTAAGGATTGCTGGTTGAAGCCAGCCCAGGCAGTAAAGTCTATGAGACTCATCTCCAATAAACTACCAGAAAAAGTCAGAAGTGGAGATAGCCTTGAGCAAAAGCTCTGTTACAGTACTCAGACCTTGAGTTCAAGCCCCAGGACCAGTAAGAAAAAGAAGTTGGGCAAATCTTACATGGTATGTGATTTTATCTGCCTAATATGAAGGGTTGGTGGACTAGTATTACTGTTAAAGGAATGGTCTTTAGATGTGTGTAGCTTTGAAGTTTTTATCGCTGCTATGTTGGTAATTTGTTACTGTGAACCTATAAAATAGGGCCTTTTGTTGATCATGGGGCTCGAATTTGTGGCCTGGACGCTGTCCTAAACTCTTTTGCTCAAGACTAACTCTCTACCACTTTGAGCTTCAGTGTCATTTCTGGGTTTATGGTGGTTAATGGGAAATGTGAGTCTCACTTTCCTGCCCAGACTAGCTTTGAACTATGATCCCCAGATCTCAGCTTCCTAAGTAGCTAGGATTACAAGTGTGGGCCACTGGCACCCTGCTAGCAGATTTCTTTATAATGGACTTCATTAGATCTGAAGATAGTTATTTTCAACTTTACAGTATTCCCCTCCCCCTCCCCATCAACATCAAATCTCAAAAACTCAAGTTAGGTGTGATAGCTGAGGCAGATGTATCACCAGTTAAGTCTTTTTTTTTTTTTGCCGGTCATGGGGCCTAAACTCTGGGTTTGGGCACTGTCCCTCAGCTCTTCAGCTCCAGGCTAGGACTCTACCCCTTGAGCCATAGCGCCACTTCTGGCTTTTTCTGTTTATGTGGTGCTGAGGAATCGAACCCAGGGCCTCATGCATGCAAGGCAAGCGCTCTACCACTGAGCTACCTTCCCAGCCCCACCAGTTAAGTCTTAATAAGGAAACAGTAGATGAATCAATTCACTGATCACTTTCAGTGGATCTCTTCATTACATGTTATATGCTGTCTACATACACAAGTCAATGAATTAAAGTTCTGTGGGAACTCCTACTTGGTATAACGTAACTTCCTGGTGCTGGTGGCTCACGCCTATAATCCTAGCTACTAAAGAGGCTGAGATCTGAGGATCATAGTTCAAAGCCAGCCTGGACAGGAAAGTGCTTGAGACTCCTCTCCAATTAGCCACCAAAAATTCAGAAGTAGAGCTGTGGCTTAAATGGATGAGTGCCTGCCTTGAGTGAAATCGATAAGGGACAGCACCCAGGCT